TAACCTACTGTTGCGTCGAGACTAATGCAATGAGTTATATTGCAAATTTCGTATATTTACTACAACCTATGGAGTAAATAATACAAATATAGGTTTTTGTATTTATCATGACCTAGAGGATATATAACACAAACTTGATAAATCGTCGCCGCTTAGAGACTGACACAATGAATTATATCACAAATTTTATTATATTTACTACAACCTAGAGAGTAAAAAATATGAGGATGAACCTGCACATTTATCACGACCAAGAGGATAAATGACATAATTCTGAAAGTTCTCATACCTACAATAACCTAGAGGATAGACTTTTATAAAGTTTGCGCGTTTACCACGACCTAGAGGATAAACGACACGAAGATAGATTCACTTATTCATTACGACCTAGGGAATGAATAATATGAACCCGATAATTCGCATACCTACCACAACCTAGGGGACAGAAGTTTGAAATGTTTGTGCATTTATCACGACCTAGAGGATAAACGACGTGAGGGTAGTCTTACTATTTATCACGACCTAGAGGATAAATAACGTAATCCTAAAAATTTGCATACCTATCACAACCTAGAGGGTAGATAATTGAAGAGTGTTTTGGTAATCAAATCTTAGATAACTAGACCAAAGATAAGATCAGAGTTTTACCGGTTGTGTCTGTTCTCAACCAAGGTATTTGTTTGTTTTTGGGGATCGAATAATCCAATGATGAGCCCCAAGAAAGATCATAGTTTTAATGAAAAATGTGTTTGGACAATGCCATGCATGATGCCCTTGATATGGAACCCTAAACATATATGCGCCGAGTTTTTTCTATATATGCCCCAAATGTATATGCACCAAGTGTTTGTATATGCCCTCAATGTTTATATATTCCCAAACATTTATATGTGCACCAAATGCTTGTTGTGAATGTTTTAATATTCTCTCCTTTTAAACCATTGGTTTTGTGTCACCGACTCCCCAACATCGTATGTTGCATTGTCGTGGTATTTTAAATTGATTGGAACAAGATGAATGGGTGTTAGCAAGATTTTGATATTTGTATCGCAGGTGCAAGCGTGGACCTAGTTGCGGATGTAGGCGTGGATATGGCTATGATCGCAGGCATGGGCGTAGATGAAGATTTTCTTTTGATGTTCTTCTAACCAAATTTCTTTTTCGATGTTTTATCCAATGCTTTTATTTATTTGTCAAATACCCAAAATGGTTTCAGTGCATTATTCACAAGAAATAATCGTAGTATTTGCAAACAAGTCTGAAAAGGAAAAACACAATTGAAAGATTTGAAAAAGTTAATGTTTCATTGATAAATATGCCTCTGAATAGGCGAGCGTACAAGATGTAATTTCTTGAAAGAGGTAATTACATGCAGTTTTATAATTTAAAATGGCAATAAAAATGATAATTGCTACTGTTGTTTCTCCAATTTCCTTTGCTTCTGAGTCAAATGTTTCGGATCAATCCCTCTCCTCCGTGGTTGTATTCGTGGTTCTTAGATTGCAGACTTTTTGTTCTTTATTTTGAATAAGATCTCTAACTTTTTCCTAGATCTCCCTTTTAGGTTTTCAATCCACCGGAATAATAATTTTTTGTGTATGTCCTTAATTTTTTCCCGGATCGCCCTTTAGGGTTTTCAACCCACCCGGATGCTCCTTTTTTCCTAAGCCGCCTGTTTAGGGTTTGAACTTAGCTAGATTTGTATACATAGTATTTTTTTTACTGCGTCTAAATTTGTCGGATGTGGCATTTCTTCCTCGTTCATTATTGTGAGGATAAGACCACCACCCGAGAATGCAGTTTTTACCACATATGGACCATCGTAGTTGGGTGTCCATTTACCATGTGAATCAAGGAGAGGTAGTAGAATATTCTTGAGCACCAAGTCTCCTTCTTTGAATACTCAAGGATGGACCTTCTTGTCAAATGCTTTCTTCATTCCCTTTTGGTATAATTGACTGTGGCACAAAGTTATCAAGCGTTTTTCTTCAATAATGTTAAGCTGATCAAGTCGTGTCTGAACCCACTCTGCTTCTTCAAGTTTTGTTTCCATTAGAACTCGTAGCAATGGAATCTTTACTTTAAAAGGGATTACTGCCTCCATGCCATATCCTAGAGATAAAGGAGTTGCTCTTGTTGATGCACGTGTGGAAGTACAATAGCCATGTAGAGCGAAGGGAAGCATTTCATGCCAATCTTTGTATGTCTTCACCATTTTTTGAATGATTTTCTTGATATTCTTATTGGCAGCTTCAACGGCCGCATTTATCTTGGATCGATATGGTGAGGAATTATGATGCTCAATTCTGAAGTCATCGTATAACTCCTTTATCATTTTGTTGTTCAAATTGGACCCATTGTCTGTAATAATCATGCTAGGAACATGTAACAGTAAAATCAATGAAGTCGCCACCGAGTATTTATTTATCCCACATAAAGGGAAAGGAAAATCATCAAAGAAAAGCATGAAGGGAGAAATCAAGGTCTTGCGACCGAGAGATCGGGTACGGGAGTCGATTACGCGAGGGGAAGGTATTAGCACCCCTCACATTCGTAGTACTATACGGGATCCATTCTTGTTGTTCTAATCAAAGGGTGTGTTCAATCTAATGCTTAAGAGCTAAAAGAAAAATGAAAAGAGTGAATGCATGCAAAGAAAACATGGCGAAGAGAAGGAAATATTTACAAATTTTCGCTCGATTGAGCCCTGTGACCCTTTTAAAGAATCAGAGCACTGTAGTTCGGCTCACAAGTTTCTGTTTGTTTATATTTTTAAATGAACAATGTTAAATTCAATCATTCCACCACAGCTCGACCATTGGAGACTCACGCACTCTAGTAGAAAGGAATCAACATGTTCTTATAAGAGAAAAGTCGAATGGCGAAAAGAAATGAATTAGTTGGTGTTTTTTTACCATGAAAAGGATTTTTGTATGGTTAGCATGTTTTATACATTTTCCAAGAAAAAAAGTTTTAGTTTTAAATGCAATTATGCAAAATGGAAAGAAAACACCAAAGAGAGACTAACCTATCTATAATCCTAATGTTATCATACAATGATGGTCCTATGGTATGGATTAACAAGAGGGAAATAATCTCTAATCCTAATGTTAGCATACATGGTTTATAAACCTAATGTCTATCTCGAACACTAACCTAAAAGAGTCGAGAAAACCCTAAGGGATCATGGTATATACAAAGGTAGAAAACAAACAATGATGCACATACATGGCGAGAGTAATGCATTTCAAACAATCTCAAAAAAAAGGCACATACATGGCGAGAGTAGTGCACACTAGCTCAAGAAAAATGGCCTAACAAAGATATCGAAGATCGAGGTAGGAAACATATGGGAACAAGAGAAATACATTAGCCAAGGGGAGCGAATCACCCAAAGAAAACAAGCGGGAATGGGATAAAATAAAAAGAAGAGAAATGCTTTAGCCAAGGGAAGCGCGTCACCCAAGGCAACCAAGCGGGAATAGGATGAAAAAGGAAAATGTGATGTCCAAAGCGACTAAGCACCTAACCAAGATATAGAAGATCGAGGTAGGAGATAGAAGGCAATATAAACAAGCACGGAGTGTCAGTATCGATCAATGCGAATTCCTGACAAAATATGGGAGTTCAACTATAAAACCCTTTTCCATTTGACCGACTCGATACACATGAGTAGCACAACTCCAAAGCATCATGGTGTGTCACGAGCTTAGGGTAACACAGACTGGATGCACGGGGATTGATTGCTAACCCTTTCCGTTTGCCTCCTTTTGAGGACTTCAATAAGGGATGGGGGAATAGATACAAGCACAAATGTAAACACACGTGCAGAATACCTACTTCAAAAGTAGTATTTTAAACAAACACAAATAACATATAGAAAGTGGTGCCTGCTACAAGACTTTAAACAACGACTTTGAGCGCACGCTCTTTATTTCCCACTTCTCATGATATCTAGAAAGTAGTAAATTGCTGAAATGAGATAAATAGGAGAAAATACCAAACAAATATCAATCTGTAGCAAAGCGATTAATAGAAAAGAAACTCAAAATACTTCATGCAACCTAGAATCAACAAGAGAGGAATGATTAGAAAAATATCGAATGAGAATCCAACGTCATAACACGAAAATAAATCGCAAGCGGAGAAATCGTATCAAGTCAAAGTCCCTGCACAAGATAAGTCTATACAACAAGACTATATCCGAATAAATCGCATCGAGCAATAAAGTAGCTTCTAAACTTGCACAAATCACAAAGGAGTTAGAAAATAACAAGGAAACTTGAGTTAAACTCCAACATCGAATTACAACTCAAAAAATGATATCAAATAACAATAAAACAAATGTCCACAATCATTTACAACATTAAACTCAAAAGATTAAGGATACTAATAGTAAGAAACCTTATTAATTCCTAAAACTCAAAACAATTCTAACATTCTACTGATTGTTGTTGTTTATAACATCAATATTTTTTATTAACAAAGTCCAAGAAAAGAAAATTGTTAGAACAATCTAAAATCAACTAGAGGGGTGTAAAACTGAAATTCAAGAGTGTGGCCAACAAGAGGCTTAGGCGCTCATCCCAATCAAACCAGTCCATTAAGCCCTTTTTTTCTAAACTCTCCTAGACTTAACAAAAAACACATGATGGACTTAGAGAGCACAATTTCGGAGGCCCATGTCTGATTCCCCCTTTTTTATGCAGATTATATTTAATCTTCATTATTAATAAAACAAACAAATTAAATTAAAAAATGAAAGAGGAATTTAGGGTTAAGATGTGGCTCCTCATCTTCTCAATTGCATGCGCCGTGAAAAACGAAAACCCGCCGCAGTTCAACTCTACTCGGCCTCTCTCAATCTCTCATTTGTGCCCATACTTCTCCTTCTATCGTCCGCTTCTAATTTCCCCCTTCAAATGATTCGGTCTATCCAACAAGATTTCCTCATCTCTATCACAACCTTCACCTTCATCCATCGTGGTCTCGTTCACGATTCAATCCTCCGTGAATGATTTGTATTCTGCCTCCTCTCTTCGGCTTCGATTCACATAAATAGATATACGATAAAATAAAAGAGTACTGAGGATTACCTGCCGGAAAATGTTCTGACGCGCCTTCAATCGAAGATGCTGAGAGGGAACTAGAAAAAGATCTGCAATGAAAATTCGGTACAGAATCATCTTCTCCTCATTTTGTGTTCTATCACGAATCATTATGTGATGACAATGCTGACTCCGTTGTTGCATGTTAGAGCAACGATTTGCAATTGAAGATGATATTGATGATGTAACAACACTTTTGTAGAAGATGATATTGATGATGTAACAACACTTTTGTAGAAGATGATGAGATGCCAAGATTGATGACGAAATTGTGAGGTTGATGATCGAATATTGGAGCGATGTTGTAGTGATGAAGAAGAATCGATGACGATCTCGAATCAATGCATTTAGAGGTAGAGAAGAATACATAGAGATGAGAGAATTTCTATTGAAGATTATTTCTATGATTTTATGGTGAGTTTCTCCTACCTTTTTGTGAGTTTTTCTTGTGTAGAATCAAAACCTCTTGTGAAGTTTTATCCCTCATCTTCTCAAATGAATTCTCGAATTTCTGTTATGAGTTAGTTAGGAACCTGTTACAGTTAGTTATTTTTGTTGGGAGCTGAAGCTTGGGTTTTTTGGTGAGCTTTGGTCTTGTTCACTTGAGGGAAGCAGGGGTTTTGTTAATTCTATCTTTAAGCATCTCCTAACATTTCTTGTTAATTACAGAGCCACTGCCATGTCCAAATCTTTGTTCAACCCATGAGGTTGTTGCCCATAGCCTTAGTTTGTCATGACATGAGCTTATTCTGACTTGATGTAGGTTTTTATGGTCGGGTATGATATCGAGTAGATGGAACTATGTTGGAAGCTAGCTTTAACATCGCAAAGTTGCAGTTTTCTTTTGTACATTTTCATCTCAATAATGTAACATGGTGTAATGGCTGGGAATGTAATGAATCTTCCAAATTTGATAGCTTTGTTAATATGCATTGCATTTTGCAACTTGTAACATGACATTGTATCAGAACCTTTGAATGCATTGAACTTTGTATCGTGATGAGGACCTTGAATTTGCAATTTTCTAAGAATGCCATTTGAATGAAAACTTGATGAACATCCAATAATGTGAACATGTATAAATTTGAATGATCTTGAAGGGATTTTGATTTTTTTGAATGAAATTTGATATCTTGAATGAGGCCTTGTAATTCGAATCCCACGCTTTGTACTTGTTGTTTGTATTTCGAACAAACCACATGAGTGATTCTACCTTTTGAATCGATTCTTGAGAAAATTGAAATGCGTTTGAACTTACAATTTCATATTCCACACAAATCATAATCACGAGTTCTCTCGAACCAACCTTAAAAGAAATGCTTAACCATAATTAACTCATTTCCTAATTCATTCTTTAAATCCAAGTAAGCTCGCAAGCAATCAAGAAATTGAAAAGATAACAAGGTCTTGATCATAAAGAATCCTCAAACTCCTACCATGTTGTACTCGCTCTTTAATCAACAAAATATCTTGCTGAAAACCCCAAAGCGACACTTAATTATTTGGCAAGTCTCACCACAAGAAGAGAACCATGATTCAATCTTCTAGACTTCTTGAAAAGAAATGACTCGCAAAGCAAGTAATTAAGGGAAACTCTACATGATTTATGAACTTGCAATAAAGAAAGAACGAATATCCTTGGTGGCCTTGAGGAGAAACTGATCTCAAAGAACCATTTTGAATAACCAACACTAATGTCCAAGCACCTTCATAGGAGAAACCCCCTAACTTTCTGGATCTTGAGTGCATATTTATGGAGAAGGCTTGAGATGTGGAGAGAAGTAAAACTCTAGCTCAAGGACATTCTTAGTGAATATATGATAAAGTATTAAGTACACAAGTTAAATATTAAAATGCATGTTCCTTGAAGAAAATTCTGATGAAGAAACCTTGTATCTTGAGGAATATTTCCAAGGAAGATGTCCACAATGCTTGTGGTCCAAGACCCTAACTTCATAGTAAGATTTCAACAATGAAAACTCTTAACATTGTAAGCAACAAACTATCAAGGAGGTAACCATTAAGAAAGGACTACCGGATCGACTGGAGGAAAGAAACTCAACTCCAAATCAACTCTAATTAGGAAAAAAAGACTCAACTTTACTGGGGTAAAGCCCAAAGAGGAGACAAAGTATCATCAACTCAACAAATAAGGAGAAATAAATGGGTAACAACGACCCATAGATAACCATGAACTATCCACTTATAGAGGAGATAGCAAAAATAGAATAACAACAACTCACAGGGGATCGGAACTACCAACCCAAAAAAGACGCGAAAAGAAACTGTAAGATAATATCGACTCAAAGATGATGGTAAACATCCACATCGAGACTAGTAAACGAGTGATTGACATAAATACTTATGACTTGAAACACATAATTGACATTAATTCTTATGGCTGGGAATAAAGGTTTGATATCAGCAATTATGGCTGGGAACAAAGGTTGACATCAACACTTATGGTTGGGAACAAAGGTTGACATCAACACTTATGGTTGGGAACAAAGGTTGACATCAACACTTATGGTTGGGAACAAAGGTTGACACCAACACTTATGGTTGGGAACAAAGGTTGACATTAATATTTATGGTTTGGAACAAATGTTGACATCAACACTTATGGATGGGATCAAATGCTTGACATCAATACTTATGGCTGGTAACAAAGTGATTGATATCAATACTTATGACTGGTAACAAAGATTTGACATCAGCACTTATGGCTGGTAACAAAGTGATTGATATTAATACTTATGACTGGTAACAAAGATTTGACATCAACACTTATGGCTGGGAACAAAGTTTGACATCAACACTTATGACTGGGAACAAAGGTTGACATCAGCACTTTTGGATGAGAACAAAGATTTTGACATCAACGCTTATGGCTGGGAACAAAGATTGGCATCAATGCTTATAATTGGGAATAAATGATTGACATCAAGGCTTATGACTGGGAACAAGGGGTTGACATCAACACTTATGGCTGGGAACAAAGGGTCGACATCAACACTTATGACTGGGAACAAAGGTTGACATCAACACTTATGGCTGGTAACAAAGATTTGACATCAATACTCATGATTGGTAACAAAGATTTGACATCAGTCTTATGACTGGAAATAACTCAGCTCTATTGGGGGTACCAATGAGGAGAAAGAGGTAAATACTGACTAACAAATGATGGTGAACTACCAACTTAGGGATAAGGGTAAAAAAAATAGAACAACACCGACTTTTATTGAAGGTAAAGAAACAAAAGATACACCAAAGTTTACTAAAGTTGAACTGCCAACTTCCACTGAAGATAGAGGAACAGAGAATACACCAACTTTTATTGAAGGTAGGGATATAGAGAGAACACCAGCTTTTACTAAAGGTGAGCTACCAACTTCCACTGAAGGTATAGATATAGAGAAGGCATCAGCTTTTGTTAAAGGTGAGCTACCAACTTCCACCGAAGGTAGAGCAACCAAAAGCATCGACTTTTACTGAAGGTGAGCTACCAAATCCCACTGAAGGTAGAGATATAGAGAGAACACCATCTTTTACTGAAGGTGAGATACCAACTTCCACTGAAAGGTAGGAATATGTATTGATAATAAAAAGTTTCCCAAAATTCTGGCGTTTCACCTAGAACGAGTCTCAGCTTCTTCTTTAACCAAGGCATTCTTCCCGGAAAGGATAATAAACTGCTATAAGAATCTTTCAACGAACTATCTTTATCATTGAAGTACAACCAACCTCAACAATGAACTATCTCCCATAATAAAGAGACTACCATCCATCAGAGTAAATAAAACTTCAACAATAAACTATCTCCCATAATTAAGAGACTACCATCCATCAGAGTAAATCAAACCTCAACAACAAACTATCTCACATAATGAAGAGAATACCATCCATCCGAGTAAACTAATCCTCAACAACAAACTATATCCCATAAAAAAGAGAATACCATCCATAAGAGTAAACCAAACTTCATCAATGAACTATCTCCTATAACATAGAGACTACCATCCATCGAAGTACACTAATCCTCAACAATAAACTATCTCCCATAACAAAGAGACTACCATCCATCGGAGTACACTAATCCTCGACAATGAAATATCTCTGATAACAAAGAGACTACCATCCATCAGAGTGAAACATCAACACCGAATTATCTCTTATAACAAAGAGACTACCATCCATCGGAGTACACTTATCCTCAACAACAAACTATCTCCTATAACGAAGAGACTACCATCCATCAGAGTGAATCAAACCTCAACAACAAACTATATCCCATAACAAAGAGACTATATCCATCGGAGTAAATCAAACCTCAACAACAAACTATCTCCCATAACAAGGAGACTACCATCTATTGGAGTAAACTAAACCTCAACAAAAAACTATCTCCCGTAAAAAAGAGACTACCATCTGTAGCGGTAGAAATGTTCAAGACTAAGCCATTGGATTGACTAGACTTTATACAAATCAAAATCAAAATCTCCACCGCGCTTTATTGTTTCCAAAGGAATGGGAAAAGAGCGAATAACCCAAAAGAGGGGGAAAGATTCTAGGTACGGGGGTTGGTTATGAAAAGGGAAGGTATTAGCAACCTAAACATCTACGGTACTCCACAGGAACCTCTTTGTAAAATCTGTATATTTTGGCTATAAAAATGTGTTGTATATAAAATGGATGGTGGAGGTGAGAAAAGAAATATTTTTATGATTTTTGCACCTGCCGCGGTTGCGAACCTTTAGTGCCTATGTACCACCTTTCGTGCAATAGAGGACCAGGGTACACGTAGTTCCTCTTTTAAAAATTTGAAACACAAGTGTGTTGGTTAATTTTATGAGATAAGACATCATCGTCATTGTCCGTGTGGAAAACATACTTACTATCCACATTCACGAGAAAGGAGAATTTGAATCATCTCAAAGTGGAGGATATGGCTTGGATTTTAAAATCAACAATGCCTCACTCAACACCCAAGTGGAAAATATCTCACTTCACTACATATTATAGAAGTATAGTTGTTTGCATCACTACAAGGATTGACAAGAGTCTAATCTTTTGAGAAAAGTTTAAAGATAAAAGCCAAAGTGGCAAAATGGTTTGAAATGAAATTGATTGACTTTTAGTCTTCTCACAAAAAATTTCAAGGTATTATTAAATTGATTGAAGTTTATTTATGAAAATGTTTTGAAAATGCATGGACCTAAGTCCAAGTTTATTATGAAAATGTTTCAAGTTTCAAAACAAGAAGAGTTTTTAAAAGGAGGGAGGAGATTTTTGAAATTAAAGAAGATGGGAGGATATGAAGAGACTATCCTAAAGCATAAGGTAAAAGCTAGAGATAAGAACCATCTAACCAACAAGAAGCCAATACTTGACATTATGAGTCAATATATAATTCCCATTCTTCGGATTGAAACCAAGCAAGCAAAGATGATAGACCTCTTGAGAGAACCAAACTTCAAGTGTTTTAAGTATTCGCAAAAATTGGTCAAAGTAACGGCTGTATACGGGTGAATTCCAGATTACAAACAAAATATGTAATCACAATAACCTGCACACAAAACAAACAAACAACCCAATGTCTTGAGGTAAACCTCAATAACTTCAGACAAAATATCAAATAAAGGTCACAAGGTCTCCAACATAGGCCAAGGTCTCTAATCCTAAGTCCAAGAAGTCCATCGCTCCATAATGACAAGGATAGTAACCAAGTAGTCCAAGTATCATTAAAGATTTTTATGGTTCATGTTGATTATTAGGTGTCTTTAAAAGGAAAAAAAAAGCTCAAGTGAGAAAAATAAAAATGACATAAAAGTAAATGCTCAAGTGAGCAAAATAAAAATGTCATAAGAATAAATTCTCAAGTGAGAAAAATAAAAATGGAATGAAATGTAAATGCTTAAATTAAATGGTACATAAAGCATAAAAATAAAAGCATAAAGTAAAGTCAATTGTTAGAAATTAGTGGTTAGTTGGATGACCATCTTGAAACTTGAATTTGGAACTCATTAGAGGATTGGTAGAACCAAAGCCTCCACACAATAAGTTGAATTTGCTTTTTGTCAAGTATATCATCCATTTTGGAATCCTCAAAAGTAACATGT